CAACACACACATTTGACCATCTGTTTACAATAGCAGCACAATTGCATTCGCTTCATCTACTGCAGTACGTGGACCAGGGCAGTGAGAGATGGGGCCTCTGGACGGGAGCTCAGGGCCAAAGGATTTATTAATTACATGATGACAGCATGTGGTGTGAAGTCAACTTTGCCAGAGCGTTTTGTCAGGAGGGAAGTGATGACAGAGTGACTTCAGAGGGGCCTCACTACTGAGAGAGAGGACGGGAATAAAGAGTGACCCGCAACAAAGGGGCCAGAGGAAGCATAAAAGCAAATTCACTTTTATATAAATAAATAATGGACTATTTGTATATTTAACACTGCAATTTGAATAACATGTTGAGCCACAACTATGAGGTTGTTTGAAATGTTTAAATTTGCATTTTTTTGTTATGCGTTGTAAGTTTATTTATAAGGGGTATTTCAGGGGCCGTGGATCACATAATGCGCTTTACATTATCTTATGATATGTGGAGCCAGGAGAGAAAAGTTTTTTAAATGTAATTGATATTTTCACAGTAAATCAAAGAACAAGTGCATTTTTCATTCCGTATATAACAGCTGGTGGTAAATGGCCGTAGCCACACCTGCCCTGGGAGGAAATGTCAGACACTCACCAATCGCCAACTCACACACCAACACAGCAACAGCCAAAATCTTATATCAATTACATTTTTAGAATTGATTAGAATCAAATAATTGATTCTAATCAACGCTGTCCGTGCACATAGTAGGATTGTAAGGACCAAATGCAGAAGACAAATTTAGAGGAAAAACATTTGCTTTGGAGAAAGATTAGAAAAGATGTTATTCTCTATTGGTTGATAAAATTATAAAAACTAGATATTCATTAAATATAAACTATTTTTTTTATACAATGGATAATCAAATATCAAATATATAAAATATCATGATTTTAATGATTAACTATTAGACAAGGAAAGGCAAGTTTTTTCATATAGCACAATTCATACAACAAGGCAACTCAAAGTGCTGAAGAAATCAAGATTAAAGTTAAAACATTTAAGAATTGTATTAAATTAAATTACGGGTAAGTCCCGACTTCCTTTCTCTTAGCTATAGCTCGAAATCCACGATGCCGTCCACTTTAACCAATCGAGTCATGCCAAGGGATGTCAATCATCGGCGCTGATGCTCGTAGCTGTGCGCATGCTCAGTTGTTTGTTTTCACAGAGCCTCCGAATCAAGCCTCTATTAGGCTCTGGAACAAAAATGAAAACTGAACAAAGAATTCTGAACATCCGCGCTGAGTTACTCATTTATATACTGAACCTATATCCATAATCAGATCCTCTGCAGATGTGTCCTATAATGTTCAATTCATGATAATAGCTACTTCCGGGTTTACAACGAACGCCTTTTTTGTACATAAAAACATTATTTTTGTCATGAAAACGTTAACAAATAATTCTGAAAACCTCTGTGCATGTGTATTAATAATGTATATGTATGATGTGTTCTCTGATTAACATTTATTTGATTGATTGTTACGGACACATAGGCGTAGACCAATCAGAAAGGAAGGGGGAGGGAGCTTCGGTCTTTTTTTTCAAATCATGCACTTCTCTCTTTTTCTGACAAACTCCAGACAATCACTTTAAAAATCATAAAAAATCACAGTAAATTAAAAAGAAAGATAAAAATAGGAAATCCCTCAGTTGTATGCACAGCTAAACAGATTTAAACATTGTCAGAGAAAAGGCCTGTCTCACATTTTCAGGAAGATTGTTCCAGATTTTAGCAGCATGAATCTGAAAAGCAGCCTCCCCATGTTTAGTCCTGACTCCAGGCACTAACAGGAGTCCAGTCCCTGTGCTCCTCAGAGTGCCAGCAGGAGGCCAGTCCCTGTGCTCCTCAGAGTCCGGGCCGGTTCATATGGGACTAACATGTCACTAATGCACTTTGGTGCGAGGCCATGGAGAGACTTGTAGCAAGCAGAGCTGTTTTAAAGTCTATTCTCTGAGCCACAGAATTACAATCTTCATGCTTTTGTTGCATTGTAACATCCTATCGCAGGATATTTCTGAACTATAAGCTCTAACACATAAGCATGGAGCTCAAAGCACAATTACATGTTCAAAAAAAATATGTTGATGTGATTCTGCGTTTGTCCCTCACATGATGAGTGAGAACGAGCTCCAGGGAGCGCTCCTAGGAATTGTGGGAAATCTTAGTAACAATCACATGATGACACACAAACAGGGGACGCCCGAACATTTCACTATATCTGTTTTCTATGTTTTCAGTTTTTTATTAAGGAGAGAGTGTTGTGTTGATCACAAACGTTTTGGCTTTTAATCAAAGGACTGGAAGTTTAAAAGACATCATGTTCATAGAGATACAATCGCTTTACACTACACTGGTGACTAAAAACAAAATTTAAAAATGGTTTGGACATTTCGTGAAAGAAAATTTAGTTTCAGATCATTTGTCTTTCAGTTAATTCTTTGTTCGAGGATGTCAACAGTTTCAAGATAGATTCTTGAAAAATAAATTATTCTATTTGCCATTTGCTGCAAAACCACATTGGAAAAACTGTGCATCATTGTGTTATTTTTTCTTTTAATCATATGATTAATTATTTTATTGGGATTATAACTGCATAATGACAAAAGTAGAAAGCTTTGAAAGAGCTACACTGATTTTGATCAAATTACTAATCATTAAAAATCTTTCAGTTCCCTTTAAACTTTGTGAACAAAAGATCCACACTTCAATAACATCTTTTGGTTTTTGATTTCTGCTCTACTTCCTGAAATTTTCAACATATTTGACTATTTATCATCACGAGTAAAGTGATGTAAAGTGTAAAACTCATTTATTTTTAAAACAGCTCAATTCACCAAAATAGGTCAAAATATTACTTCTGCCTCGTGAGATGATCAGCAGCGGCGTCTTCAGTGTGTGGAGTTCTGACATTTACTGAAACGTAATGAGGATGTGACGCTTTAGAGACAGACGCAGAGCAGGAAGTGAAGCTGACGGGACGCACAGACCTCCACTGAACACTCTCTACTGTATGTACTGTATGTAAACTATACGGTTATGAATCATTCCCTCATCAAAATATATTTTTTCTCTTTTCACAACCAATTGAAAGTTTTCCCAAACTGTTTCCCACGAAAAGTACTATTTGTATTTAATAATATTTCAACGTCTATTCAGAGGATTGGGGACAATGAATGTGCAGCATGTTCTTTTGGACGTATCATTCATCTATAATGATCCAATACATATGGTTTGAACTGTACTGTTTATTTTCCCATGAATCATGCAACGTACAGTATCACCTGCAAAAGTCACACACTGTTGCTTTAATCTGCAGCAAGACCACAACATGCTGCCTTCTTATTATTAGAAAACAACTTTTGCACTTTCTGTGAGTCACAATTTGACTCGGCTGAGAGTTGATGGACTGAGCGAGTGGTCTTCTCTTTTTATTTTTTCTGTTTGAAAACACTAATCTAAAGACGTGGTGGATTCCAAAAATACATATATGTAAAAACTAATGTGATAGAATCAAACTGTTTTGAGAGCAAGGAACTAGTTCCAGGTTTCACAAGCATATCCTGAACATCATTGACCACAGAGTTTATGTAATCAAACTAATTATTATTGAAATCACAATTATAAATCCGATTAACTGCTCCGTCCCAACAACAATAGCTTGTGCTTCATTCCCCTCTTCACTTGTACCCCCTCCTCCACCCACGGGCCCCTGCAAGCCGGCTGAGAGTCTCCGGAGGTCGCCTCTGACGTCAGCAGCCGGGCCGGGCAGAGTGCCAGAGCTCGGGGCCCTTGATGGATGCGGTTGGTCTGAATGTGTGTGTGTGTGTGTGCGTGTGTGTGTACATGCGCGCGTGTGTGTGTGTGTGTGTGTATGTGCGTGGTTGCGTAGCCAGGCCGCACAGACACATGTAATGACCCATAAACAGCCAAACGAGAGCCGTCCTCCGCCCCTTCTGTCTATCACATACACATAACTACAGGAGACACATGTGGGGAGAGTGATTTCAGGGCTGGACAGGAGGTTGGAAGGTTTGAAGTTGTAAAAAGAAATAAAAAACAGTGTGCATAGGTCACACTTTTGGTATGTTGCAAGGTAGAGAGCACAGAGCAGTAATTAAAAGGTGCTAAAGTGCACTTTGTAACAATAGAAAAAATAGCTTTGGCTCATAATAAAATCCATTAAGATAAGATAAGATAAGATTGCTTTATTTATCTCACAGAGGAGAAATTTACATGTCACATTATTTTGCCTTGTTACAAACACATTAGCCTAATCAAAATCCAGATTTGGTTTATCATCATGCACTATGCATCATCACTCAATACATTTAAATAAAGGCAGGATTCAGGAAGTGGTTGGACAAAAGCGGCAACAGACTGAATTGGAGCATCACCACAAAATAGAAGGAATAATCCAATTGACTTCGGAGAGGAATAATTCATCCATCCATTTCTCATCTAATACATTATAATGATCAGCTTTGATTTTAGTTGAGAAATCCACAACCAAAAAGCCTGTCTCATGTTTTTGGAAATAAATATTGAAACACATTTTTATAAATTTGCAATGACGACAATGTTGTATTGACAATAATATGTGGGGTCATTTTCCCCTGGATGCATGTCTCTAATCAAGCCCATATTACAGAAATAGTCAGACAGAAGAAGTATTGTGAAAAACACAACAAATAAGCACACCAAACTGACCATACATTTTAGCCATAAATCTTTCTACCTATATTTTCACCTTACAACTCCTTTAAATCATCTAAAATATTGTTTGCTGTGAAGGGAAAAACATGCATAATAAAATCTTGGCAGGTACCCTTTGTATCTTTTCGTATGTTCTCCTTTTGGGAAGTTTATTCCCTATTACACTGTTGCTCAAGGCTGATATTAAGCAGCTCAAAAACAAATGAAAAGAACAGGTTTAGTGCGTGTGAGGAGGTTCACCTGTGGGTTTGCAGCTGCTCTTCCTCTTGAGCCATCGCTCCAGAGTCTCCGCGCTCACACTCTCCAACACAAAGTCATCCAGGAGCTGAGGGTGCAGTGAGAGGTAGGCCTTCACTTTCTCATCCGTCAAACCTGCACAGGACACAGACCAGTCACTGAACTCACAATCACAGCTGTGGAAACTGCTGCGTGGATTGTATTTATTTATTGTTTATTTCCAAAGGACAGATATGACAAACATGATCCCATGCAGGTAACACAGTGTTATATGGATAATTCACAACACCAGATTGTTGGAGGGCTTTTAGCAGATCTAGAGTAAAGTAAATAAGAATAAAAATACAATGGTGGTTTACAGTCATGTCACAAGGAAAAGTAGGCTATAGCCCTTTAAAAATGCAATGTTAATGTCTCATTTGTTGTTGTTTTATTAATAAACCTTTGTGCCCAGAGTCACTTATGACCATAATCACCTCTATGAGCGCATTCTCCACAACACCACAGATCATTGCTAAATGTCAGTTAAATTTAAGTTCATTTTTGCAATCCTGCCTACAGACAAACTCACACACAGGTGATTAAAGTGCTCCTCCTGCTGCCACTTGATTCTTGTGTTGTTGGTGAGGATAAGTGGTATTATAAAAAGGTATATATAAAACATGCCTACATTTCTATTTTTTATTGAAGGGGAATTGAAACGGTGCATCATATAATAAATATGTAGTCAAGTGGTTTGCCCACCATTGTGTTAGCCACTGCTAGCATTTAGCTCCTGTCATGATAGCCACTGCTAGCCTTTAGCTCCGGTCATGTTAGCTGCATGGATCTATAATAATAACTGGATAGGGTATAACTAGCTTATAGCTGTCCCACCCATGGGCACAGGGGGCGCCCATGATACTGCAGACTAAATTCACGTGGGCTCCCCAGAAAAAAGTCCCATAGAACTCAATGTAAATTAAAACCTCAACCTACAGCTTTCATAAAGGTCGGATTTTGTGGGGATTTTAGTGTCGCTTGTCATCCTGAACTTTTTTTCTTCTTAAATCCTTCAGTTTCCTTTAAATCCACACTTTACTGCCACAAACTCTGCTCGTTTCCTTCCCGCTCTGGGTCCGCTCTACCGCTGCTCTGATCAGCAGCTCTGATTGGTCAGAGAGCAGCCGAGCCCCTCTAGTATAATATACTCTAATATAGGCAAGTTCCGCTAATCTTTCGGTCATCCTGTAAGTCCCATGCGCTGCTGAGCACAAGCCATTCATTTGAATAGGGCGCCATCTTGGACCACCGGGGCTCGGTTAGCTGCCATTAGCCTGTAGCTCTGTCATATTTACTGTAAGCTTCTCCCTGGGGATTGAAGCGCTGTGCAGACGCTCAAGTACGAAGCACGACTCCATTCACATAAGAGGCAATTACTAGGTTCTGGAGAGCTGGCTAAGTGCTGCTGTTTACTGTCTTTGTTGTCAAGGAAAAAGGCCATTTGTTCATCATTCGACTGCTGCTACCAAGAATCGTCGAGTAATAAATGCTATAACTAATCTATAGTAGTGTCACTAACATCACTTGTTTCTCTCTTGTTTTAGCACAGCCCAAGCTGAAAATTAGGTTTTAACTGCCATAAACAATGTTTAATAGGCCTAAAAGGTTTTTTATGTGTTCATTAAAGAACAATAATTTAACTAAATTAATTAAATCAAAAGCGATACTGATTGTATTGGTAAACCCGATCCAATGTATGAATGAGTTGAAAGTTTAGATACAAGATTTGTATCTACGTATTTCACCTTGGAGAGACCCATGAGGAAAATGCCGTTAGACTTATTAGATTTAAGCATGTTTATTGATTGAGCATGTCTGGCGCCCTAGGCCCGGAAGGGATGCTGTTGAGCACGGCGCTTGCTCGCGTGCATAATCCCCCCCGGGGCCTAGGCACTGGTGGCGGCAGAGGCAGTAGGCAAGCACGCTTTGGTGAGAAAAGGAGGAGGTGGGGCGGCGGAGGCTTGCAGACTTCAGAAGGCCGGGAAGTGGGAGTCTCCGGCTTTTAACTTGCTGTCCTGGTGGTTATTGGTTGGCTGGATGTGGGCATTGCTGGTATTGATGAGCCGAGGAAGAGCAGCCTGTGGCCTGGGCAAGCAGCAGCCGGGTCTACCACAGTGAACTTTCGTGAAAGCTCCATGTTACACACAGACGACCCAGCAAACCTACACGCATCCTCGCACATTTCTCCCATTATACTCATTGTAAATGAAACACACTGTTTAATAAACAAATCTTCTCAGATTTAACTTGAAGCTGAGGTGCTGACATACTGTCTTAGTCTTGTTAGAAAACATATGATATTTTAACTGTTAAGAGTTAAAAACTAGTTGTATGGATTTATATTACATAGTTCATTTTGTTGTGGTTTGAAAAGTTAGGCACCCCAGCTTTAATAGTAAACTAACGACTAATTTGTCCAGACTTTCTCTTCAGTAGATTTTCAATGTGTCTACCTGTGAAATGTCATGTTAAGCATTTTGAGAAGCAGTGCTAATATTAGGCTAAACCAGAGAGATAAAATGAATAGCTCATTTTTATGAAAATGATCAACAGTTTATAATTGTACGAGTAAAAAAGCGAAGGAGAAAAAACAGATACACGATTTAGAGAGCCCAGCCAGTGTTCTGAGTGTGGACATTTGATCCAAACAGAAGGCACATGTTTCATTGGGCACATCTCTCTCAGTCTCGGTGTCTTTGCTACAAACTTGTGATCGCGGCGTATGGGGCGTTAGAGGTTGGGGCTTGTAGAGGAGAGAGAGGTGGTCTGACGCTGTCCAGACTCTCAGCTCCGAGCCTCACGAGACCCCGGGCCGCTCTGACGCACATCGGCAGAATATAGCTTCATAAATCAGACAAAGTGGAGGGGGACAGAGGGTGCTGCAGGGGACAAAAAGACACATATACACACACACAGACCCCTCACCATCACCGCCCTATGTGTAACACAAAGACAGCAGTGTAATTAGCAAAAAGAGAGCAACACAAGGGCTCAGTATAAATATATGAATACGACTTCTGTGCGGGGCAGCCCAGAAAATTACTTGACAACCATATGTGAGTACACTAAAAAGAACATGTTTGTGGGGCAAAGACAAAAAATGATTGGGAGGAGCATGCATTTAGATTTAAAGATAACAATTGTAAGAAAGTACAATTGTAAAAGTACTCACAGTATTATTGCCGTTTAAAATAAGTAAAGTTTGCAACATTGAGGACGGATTTTTACAAACATTTTGGGAAACCTCTGAATTGGGACGAGGACCAAATCCTTGATCCGGGTCACTGTCTGGATCCAGGATTTTGGATTAATTGAGTATTAATAAATGTTATTCAACACTTTATGAGTAATTCAAAATCTCTAGAATAGATCCAAGTAGATAAGTCTTTGCATATAAATTAATATCAAAATCTTTTATGGGTGACATCATTGTTTCTGTGCCTAAAACTGTTTTTACAGGGCTGTGAGTCACTGGAAAGGATTACCACCATCAAGAAAGTCAGGGTTTTAAGGCCCGTCTTAAGAAAGAACTGAATTCCTGTATATTTGCTTTTTTTTCTGTTAAGCCCTCTATCTCAGAGGGCTTAACAGAAAAAAAAAATGCTAATATACAGGAATTCAGTTCTACTGTTGTGATTTAGGGCTATACAAGAATGAAATGAATTGTATTAAATTTTTGGTAAATGTTAAAATTTCTATGTATCTGGTATTTTTTAGATTGTATTGAGAGCATTGATTTTTTCAAAATAATGCGTTTTTATGTTTGTACACCTGATTGTATTATCGTGATAGATCACAGGAAGACTGGTTATCACTTTGGTGCATACTAAATAAACCAAAGCTTGTGCAGACAAGCAATTCACAGTAAATGTATCTCCCCTTTTTATTACCGTTGTTTTACACTTGCATCTTGAGGAAGAATTCAAGTCTGCATGTGTTGTTGTGAATATACAGTAAAGGCATGAATGTAAAGTCTGCAGCCAGAGACACTTCTCCAAACAGACTGTGAATGCGGCCGCAGTGACAGAGGAAGCTGTGCAGCCTGCGTCATTGTCCCACAACAGAATCAACCAATGGGGAGCAGCTCTGAGCCACATGTGGAGGGGGTCCACACGGCCTCAAACACTAACACATGAGCTGCTCGACGATGGAGGACTGACAGATGGAGGGAGCTGCTGTGTGAGGCCACAGAGCTTATGAAAACCAAACATTTTATTACATTCACATCATGAGAACAATCACATTTTACAATTATAGAGTTCTGAGTTGTTGCATGATTTTGAGGTTTAAAGTTTTAGCTCTGAGGCATCAAGGTATGGTGAAATCTCTTACACAATATCCTTCAAAATAAAGTATAGAGAAGGTTCTATGGACTATGAACATACAAACAAAAAATCTTCAAATCGCGTGGTCTAATTCTATGCCGGCGAAAATTTTAAGGGTTTAAATTTTACTGTGCAAGTTGGAGAGCATGAAATCTGATAATCTATTGTTTTCATAATGGCATAAAAGAAAATGTATGCAATCAAAGGACAATGTATTTAAGGCGTCTGTTCCTTACACCCCGAGTAACCTTAAGGCAAGTGTACACTCAGGCGTCCCTGTGTACGTTGGCATTTGCGCTGGACCCGTGTTTGATTACGCAACCACAGTTGTTCATATACTACTGAAAATATGTTGTTTTACAAGTGCAGGATCAATGCAATCACGTACAGACCAGTGGAGCCGGGTCCCGGCTCAAAAACATCCATGGGCATGTGCGGTGGCATGCTTGCAAAACCACTCCAGGCCGGTGGGGGTGGACCCGGAATGAGAATTATCCAATGCTTTTGTATGCCGTCTTCTTACCTCTCGAAGACGGCTTTACAGAATGGTCCTAAGTCGGCTCTTGGCCCAATGCTACGTTCAAGATGTGTTTTTTCGCCGCTATTGACTTTTGAAGGCACTCGTCAAATGAATGGGGCTTGTGCCAGCTAACGCATGCAAAAATGCGTTTTTTCAATATTTTCCTGCCCCACGGCCATTGTGAAACTGCCCTCAGACGGCAAAAGTGGTGGCACATAGTTTCAACGGTGGAGAAAGGCGTAACTATG